CTATTACTAGATGGGCCCAAGCCTGGTGCCTACATATGGGGTGAAGTGGCCATGCCCCAAACATGAGAAGCACCATCTTTGGACCTGAATGCTCTTCAGCTCCCCGCTAAGGGGATGAATGAGTGAACAGCTCTGGGGCACTCTCAGGTCTGTGCCTCACTGCGCCCCCCCATCCCCTGCAACTGTGGTCCTTCCTGCGGGGGATGCAACAAACCCAGAGAGAAGGTCAGGATCCAAGCTGAGACAGAGATTCTCAGGATCCCCACTGCCAACCTCAGATGAGAGGAGATGGGGTGGCAGAGGGCAGGAAAGCAAGCCAGGAGACTAAGCTCTGGGTACCAGAAAACTGCCAGCAAAAAGATGAGAAAAAATGCGGGCCGGGTGCGGTGGCTCACGCCTGTAATCCCAGCACTTTGGAAGGCCGAGGCGGGTGGATCACGAGGTCAAGAGATCAAGACCATCCTGGTCAACATGGTGAAACCCCGTCTCTACTAAAAATACAAAAAATTAGCTGGGCATAGTGGCGCGTGCCTGTAATCCCAGCTACTCAGGAGGCTGAGGCAGGAGAATTGCCTGAACCCAGGAGGCGGAAGTTGCGGTGAGCCGAGATCGCGCCATTGCACTCCAGCCTGGATAAACAAGAGTGAAACTCCGTCTCAAAAAACAAAAAAATGCTTGGAAAGAATGTAAAATTATATATACGGACTTCCTGCAGTGGTTGGCATGCTCAAGTGAATGACCATCCACCACTTCACATAGTTACCTTTTGTGTATGTGGTGAAAACACTTAAAATCTACTCTTAGCACATTGCAAATATACAATATGTTTTTTTAATTTTTTCAGACGGGGTCTCACTCTGTCGCCCTGGCTAGAGTTCAGTGGCGCCATCTCGGCTCACTGCAAAGTCCGACTCCCAGGTTCAAGTGATTCTCCTGCCTCAGCCTCCCAATTAGCTGGGATTACAGGCACCTGCCACCATGCCTGGCTAATTTCTGTATTTGTAGTAGAGATGGGGTTTCACCATGGTGGCCAGGCTGCTCTCAAACTCCTGACCTCAGATGATCTGCCCACCTTGGCCTGCCAAAGTGCTGGGATTACGGGCGTGAGCCACTGTGCCCAGCCACAATATAGTATCATTAACTAAAGTCACCCGCTGCATATTAGATCCCCAGAATTATCCCAAAACTGAGAGTTTGTACCCTCAGAGCAATATTTCCTAAATTCCCTCATCTCCAGCCCCTGACAGCCACCATGCTACAGTCTGCATCCATGAGTTCAACTAAGATTCCATTAAGTGAGATTATGCAGTATTTATCTTTCTGTGTCTGGCTTATTTCACTTAGCATAATGTCCTCCAGGCTTATCTGCATTGTCACAAATGGCAGGATATCCTCCCTTTTATGGCGGAATAATACTCCATTGTGTATATGTTGTATATATATGTATATATATGTATACAATATATAATTGTGTGTGTGCATATATGACATAAGTGTATACAAATACATGTATAGGACGTGTGTGTGTGTGTGTGTGTGTGTATGACATTTTCTTTATCCATTCATTCATCAACAGACACTTAGGAATAATTCTGCAATGAATATAGGGATACTCTTGACCTCAAGTGAACCACCTGCCTCAGCCTCCCAAAGTGCTGAGATTACAGGCATAAGCCACTACACCTAACCCAGATATCTTTTCTTTTCTTTTCCTTCCTTCCTTCCTTTCTCTTTCTTTCTTTCTTTTTTTTTTTTTGGACAGTCTCTGTCTGTCGCCTAGGCTGGAGTACACTGGTGCAATCTTGTCTCACTGCAACCTCTGCCTCCCAGTTCGAGTAATTCTCCTGCCTCAGCTTCCTGAGTAGCTGGTACTACAGGTGCCTGCCACCATGCCCAGCTAATTTTTGTATTTTCAGTACAGACAGGGTTTCACCATATTGGCCAGACTGGTCTTGAACTCTTGACCTTGTGATCCTCCTGCCTCAGCCTCCCAAAGTGCTGGGATTACAGGTGTGAGCCACTGCACCCAGCCAGATATCTTTTCAAGATACTGATTTTGTTTCCTTTGGATATATAACCAGTAATGAGACTGCTGGATCATATGGTAGTTTTATTTTCAATTTTTTGAGGAACCTCCATGCCGTTTTCCATAATGGCTGCACCATTTTACTCTACAGTCCCACCAACAGTGTACAACGGTGCTCTTCTCTCTACACCTTCACCAACACTTATCTCTTGTGTTTTGAGAACCCCATCCTAACAGGTGTGATGTGGTATTTCATTGTGGCTTTGATTTGCATTTCCCTGATGATTAGTGATGTGCACCTTTTCACATGCCTGTTGGCTATTTGTATTTCTTTGCTGGAAAAATGTCTATTCAGGTCTTTCTCTCTCTCTCTCTGTTCTCTCTCTCTCTCTCTCTCTCTCTCTCTCTCTTTATGAGGCATTTGCTCTTGTTGTACAGGATGGATTGCAGTGGTGTGACCGCAACCTCCGACTCCCAAGTTCAAGTGATTCTCCTGCCTCAGTTTTCCACGTAGCTGGGATTACAGGCATGCGCCACCACTCCTTGCTAATTTTGTATTTTCAGTAGAGATGGGGTTTCTCCATGTTTGTCAGGCTGGTCTCAAACTCCTGACCTCAGGTGATCCACCCAACCTGGCCTCCCAAAGTGCTGGGATTGAGCCACCATGTTCCTCATTTTTAAATTGGGTTATTTGTTTTTTTGCTATTGAGTTGTATGAATTCCTCACATATTAACTCTTATCAGATACATGGTTTGCAAACATTTTCTCCCGTACCGTAGGTTGCCTTTCATCTTGCGGATTATTCCCTTTGCAAACTTTCTAGTTTAATGCAGTCTCACAATTTTTGCTTTTGCTGACTGTTCTTCCGGTGTCATAGCCGAAGATTAATTCTCAAGATCAATGTGAAGGAGCCTTTCCCCTCTGTTTCCTTGTAGGGGTTTCACAGTTCCAAGTCTTACATTTAAGTCTTTACAAATAAATATATATTTTTTAAAAGCTTTGAAATATTAATCATGAACAAAACAAAAACTTCAGTGAACTTTCTTATGCCTATTTTACGCTTTGTTACTTGTGTATTCGGAATTAGATGTGCAGGGATAGAAAACTCTTTCCAGGGTCTATGGTCTCTGAGGGTCTGGATCCTCCCTCTGGGGTTCCTGCTTGGGGCTGGGGGCCACCACTGAAAGCCTCCTTCAGGTCCCGACAGCTGGGCCTTCATTCTCAGAAGCCCTTCCTTCTCCTTTCATTTGCATCTCATTAGCACCACCTCGAGCTGGTGGCAGCTCCGCCTGTCTGGAGCCCTGGGAGGCAGGCTGCAGCCGACCCCCTCCCAGCTGGAGAGGGGTGTGACGACCTGCTCTCCCATCCCCCTTCCCCGCGTTCTCCGTCCCTACCCTCTCTCTCGCCCCACTTGCCGCAGCCACTGGGAGGGCGCAGGCGGACTCAAGGCGTGCCCCGCTCTCCGCACCCCCACCCAGGCTCAGGTCTCCTAGGCGCCAGCCGCGCGTTCCTATGGCAACCGGGTGATGGCGCGGGTCTCGGTGCCTGCCTAGGAGCCACGCGGCCACCCAGCTCCCCGCCCCGCCGCCCAGGCTGGATTGGTGACAGGCAGGGCCTCAATCTCCCGAGATGATCGGCGATAATTGGTTTATGGAAATAGCTGAGCGAAGAAGGCTGGCTCCCCCACTGGAAACCAGCCTCCCAGCCAAGCATGCTCCCTCCACCTGCCCTTCCCTCACCAAGGAAATGGAGTTGGGGGAGGGAGGGCCGAGGAGCTGGGCTGGCACAAATGGGGCTTTTGAGGCAAGTGTTTCACCTGTTGGTCTCACCGTGGGGGACTGGAGGGAGCGGGACTTGTCATAGTAACCAGGTGTTGGCCTCAGTCACTCCTTGGCCCCTAAGTTTGGGCTCAGGCCTATGTTGGGTGCATTGTTGGGGGAAATGGAGGAGAGATCCACCCTCAGGGAGCTCCAGAGGAGCGCATAAAGCATATTGATATAAAGTACTTCAAACCAGAGTCACCTCTGCTTGGAGCACCAGAGGAAGGAGAGCTCAACTCTGGTGGCTGCCTGGAGGAGGAGGCTTCCAAGAGAGGATTTCAGCAAGCATTGGTAAGAGGGCTGGGGCAGGCAGGCACTTCCCTAAAAGAAATGTGGGCAACAGACTCTTGGCAGGAACTGAATGGTGCTGGCATTGGTGGGGTTGGGGAAGTATAGGGTGGCTTGGTGGGATGCCACCACGGCTCCCACCACCTGTCTGTAGAGATCTAGGGGCCACATGCATCCTTGGAGGGTGCTTTATAGCAAAGATTGAGCAGACGTCCAGTGATGCCAGCGAAGGTTGGCTGAATGGAGACTGTGTTGCCCTTGGTGCCTTTCTGGAAGAAGTGAGACCTGTGAGGTGGGCATAGATGTGACGTGTCAGGCCTTGGCACCAGGCTGGGGAAGTGTGTACCCTGACAGCAGCTGGCTCGAGGATGCGTGGAGGGTGCGTTAAAGGCCCAGAACTAAAGGAGTCCCCCTGATAGAAGTGACTGGAGGAGGGGAGGGTGGTTATGAGGACCCTGCCCCAGGGCTGGGCATGGTGGGGTAGGGCACCCAGAAGTCAGAAGAGGCAGGCCCCAAGTCTTCCCCTTCCCCAATCTGACCATCACCCCCATGAGCCCAGCCCAGGCCTCTGCATGAGAGGGCCCTGCCCCACTGGAGCTGAGCTGTGGTCAATCACTGCCCGGCTGGTGTGGGGTGGGGGGTGATGCTCTGGATCCTTGGCACCCGGCCTTGCCCAGCCCCGGTGAGCAGCTCCCATGCCAGGCAATGCCCACAGCGCCTCTGTGAGTCATACTTGGCTCTTCCTCTCTGGGTATGACAGTCCCTGTCCTGGGCCTTTGGGTGCTCGTATTCCAAATAGCTGTCCCCCTGTTTCTGCTCACAGCCCCAACCCATTCCCTGCCCCCACTCTCACCCAGCTACTTACACCACCACATAGGGCCAAGGCTCGGAGCCATCCTTGCAGGCAGGCAGGTTGGTAGCCCCATGGAGGGTGACCATGATGGTCTCCTTGTTAGAGGGAGACAGGTGACTGATTTCCGGTTCCATGCTCTGGGAGGTGACCAGGGGCTCCTCCCGGCCTTCAGTGTTCTGTGGGGAGAGCCAAGGATGAGTGGCCTCTTTTTTTACTTTTACTTTTTTTTTTTTTTTTTAAACAGAGTCGCACTCTGTCACCCAGGCTGGAGTGCAGTGGGGCCATCTCGGCTCACTGCAGGCTCTGTCTCCCAAGTCCAAGCGATTATCCTGCCTCAGCCTCCCCAGTAACTGGGATCACAGCCATGCATCACCACATCCTGCTAATTTTTGTGTTTTTAGTAGAGACAGGGTTTCACCATGTTGACCAGGCTGGTCTTGAACTCCTGACCTCAGGTGATCCGCCTGGCTTGGCCTCCCAAATTGCTGGGATCACAGGCATGAGTCACTGCACCTGGCCCTGAGTGGCCTCTTCTGCTGCAGCACCTCCCTTGGCTGCCACTCTCTAACATCTAGCCCCCCTCACAACTCCCATCAAGTGCCTGCCTCCCTCTGTCACCCCTCCACTCACTCTGCAAGGCAGTCGCTTGGTGCCATTTTCTCCCTACCTCTGTCCCCATCCCACATCTCTCAGTGTCTCTCAGCCTCTCCCCCAGGCCTGGATCCAGGATGAGACAAGCCGCCTCACCTTTCAAGTCCGGTCCCGCTTCTAAGCCTTGGCTTTCGCAAGTACCCTCATCTGTAATTCCTAAATCCCACCTGCTTTTTCAGTCCTAGCAATGGGCCACCTTCTTCAGTCTGTCCCGTAACCTCGCCTCAGCCCACCCATCACCTCAGTGATACACTTTACCTCAGGTGATACACTGTACAGCTTACAAAGCTTCTCCAAGCCTTGGGGGCACTCCGTGCATTACATGGAGGTGAATACATGTGTCCGTCCCAGATGCCCCACCTGTCTTATACCCAGGGAAATTTGCGGACTGGGGAGAAGGAGGTGCCTGCCCATGCCGGGGCCTCCTGCGCCACTTGCCCCATGCAGGGACACAGCAGCTCAGTAACTCGTGGTTCCACGGCCCAAAGGACCATTGTGATGAGTTGCTGAGAGAAGACAGAGCCCTGGCCAGCTGAGGCAGTCAGGGAAGGCGGCAGAGAGGAGGAGGCCTTAAAGGGTTGGGAGAATCTGCAGGAGTGGAGTTGGGGAGGAGAGGCCAGGAGCAGGAACTGGAGTGAAGGAGCAAGCAGGAAGGGGCAGAGCTTTCCAAGGCCCAGAGGTGGCTCAGTTTGATTGGGGAAGCAGTGGGGACTTGGGGGAGATGGCAGCACTGGGGACATAAATGCTGTGGGGTGGGGAGGGGTGTGGCCATGGGGCTGCTGTGGCTCAGGGGCGTTCTCGTCCTCCCTGGCCCTGGTCCTCCACTGGCCAGCTGGCTGACTCTCCACTCTCAGTTAATCTGACCCAGATTAATCCTTGCTAGGCCTCCTTCGATAGGAGGTCTCCCTACCCTTTGTCCCTCCAGCTGATGTGAGAGGCCATAGAGGGGCCCTCCTGGTCATGGAAGATGAGCAATGGACCTCTTCAGGGTGGTGGTGGAGCCCTGAGGGGCCACTGGGGGCCTGTCCCACGTCTCTGGCAAGCTCAGCCTGTCAGACCCTGCATTCCAGGGCAGGCCTTGGTGAGTGGTTAACAATGTCCTATTACACAGAGGGGAGATTGAGGCCCAGGCAGAAGCAAGGACCTGGGCACGGATGGACTTTGGTTTGATGGCAGCCCCGGCAGGCTGGGTCCCTGGTTCAGAACAGGCTAGTTCCTGAGGAGCCCTGAGGGTCAGGAGAGCAGGTTGAAACCAGCTCTGCCTCTCACCACACCGACTACCAAAGCCAGCCATGCTCTGAGAGTCAGTTTCACCAGTGAGGAGATGAGGCCTATCTGGAACCTGCTCCGCTCCTACCTTGAGCCTGGGGGTCCTGGGCACCGCACCACCCCTGCTGGCTCCTGGAAACCTCAGGCAGAGGGTAAGAAAAGGGGACAGTGCCTGAGGCTCTGCCCTGCCCTGAGGAGTTTTAGGGACGTTATTTCATCCATTTCTCATGACAGTGTGGGGTGCCCACAAATCGGAGCCACACACCCCCTCAACAGCTCCCCTGGGGGTCTACTGGCCTCTCAAAGCTAACAAGCTCTTGCCTCCTCTTCAAACCCCTCCTCCTGCTGTCTGCCCCAACTCCTTAATGAGTTAATGGTGATCTGTTCTTGTTTTTCAAGCCCCACGTCTTGGAGTCCTTCCTGATTATTCCCTCTCTCCCTCTTACATACCTTATGCAGCTCCTTAGCAGATCCCGTCAGCTCTGCCTTCACATCATTTCTGGACTCTGACCCCTTCTCGGCATCCTCGGGTCAGCACTCAGTTCCCTCCCAGACACCAGCACGTCCGGACTCGCCTCTGACGGTTTTCTCCGTTTCCTCTCCGGCTCTCCCTCCACCCCATCCGATCTCACACAGCAGCAAGAGTGAGCCTTTACAGACTAGTCTGGACCCTCTCTCTCCTCTGCTCAGAACCCTGCAGTAGTCTGCTTCTCTCAGAGCCTCACAATGGCCCGTGGGGCCCTCCTGGAGCTGGCCCAGAAAACTGACCTCATCTTGTCCCATAGAGCCCTGTGGGTCACTCAGCTCCAGCCACACTGGCCAGGCCTCCTGGCTGTTTTTCATACCCACCAAGCTCCCTCCTCCCTCCCAGCCTCTGCCCCAGCTGTTCTCTCAGCCTGGACAGCTCCTCCCTGGGTGTCACCCCAGAGCTGTCATCCCTTAGCCTGCCTGGTGCAGGTTGTGGTCCTTGCCTAGCAAGATTACTAATTAGGAGATGGGAATATATGCCCCCCAGATCAGAAGTGCCAGTCCTGCAGACAGACCCCCCTTCCTCTGACTGAGGAGACCACCCCTACCCTCCTCCAGGACCCAGCAGGGCCTGTCACCATCTGCAGAGGTGTTGATGAAGGTTGCCCCTCTTCCTTCCCTTCCTCCCAGGGGAGGGGAAGATGCCCCGGCCTGGAGGTGAGGGATGGGGCACAGCCAGAGTGCCGTGCTCCTTGCCCTCCTGGGTAGGCAGCTTCCTCCCATATCCGCCCTCACTGCCCACCACCATGACCCCCCACTCCTCCGAAGCCTTGCTCTCTGATTTAGTGGCACAGGAGCAAGGCTGGCAGCCCCAGGGCAAAAGACCTAGGTTTCAGCTCGGCTCAGCGTGGTGGCTCATGCCTGTAATCCCAGCACTTTGGGAGGCCGAGGCAGGTGGATCACTTGAGGCTGGGAGTTTGAGACCAGCCTGGCCAAGATGGTGAAACCCCGTCTGTACTAAAAAAACAAAAGTAAACCAGGTGTGGCGGCACGAGCTTGTAATCCCAGCTACTCAGGAGGCTGAGGCAGAAGAATCACTTGAACTGGGGAGGCAGAGGTTGCAGTGAGCTGAGATTGCACTTCAGCCTGAGTGATAGACTGAGACTCCATCAAAAAAAAAAAAAAAAAAGGAAGGAAGGAAGGAAGGAAGGAAGGAAGGAAGGAAGGAAGGAAGGAAGGAAGGAAGGAAAAGACCTAGGTTTCAGCTCAGCTCTGGCCCTACCTCTCTGCCCCACCTCTCTGAGCCTTGGTTTTCCCACCTGGCCAGTGGGAATTCGTGGAATGGTTTGTGATTCGGCCTTTCCACGTTTACGGTGCCTGAAGTTCCTGCAGTGAGCTGGGTGATTAATATTCCTCGATGGATTCCCCTTTTTGCTATGAGGGTACAGGCCCTGTCACAGGGCCTAGGAGTCACGAGCTCTCTAGGGTCCCACAAGTGAGGGCCCCAGAGCATGGCCATTGTCCAAGGCGCTCACTGACCCCTGGCAGCCCCAGAGCCCAACTAGGCACCTGCAGACCCGGCCAGGAGTCGCACTGGCTCCTCCTCTACCTCCTCTCTGCCTCCGCCTCGGGGACAGCCTTCCCTTCTGGGAAAAATGCTTGCAGGAAGTTTGGCAAGAACTGCTCGTGCTTCAGTTCTGGGCATGAGGCCAGCTGCCAGGCTGGCGCCTCCTGGTGAGGCCTGCAGGCATGTGCCTGCTGGGTAGGCTGGGCCCAGGGCCAGGGAGGCCTGGGGCCAAGGGTGATGCCAGGACGGGGATGGTGGGCCAGGGCAGCCAACCCTCCCACGTCTGGATGGGAATCTGCCCACTTTCCCTCAGAGACGTCTTGCATCAGAAACAACGTCCTCAGCCCACCTCTTACCCTGGCCTGCACTGGAGGATTTACGAGAGAACAGAAAACGCACATACCGGGTTACACAAGGGGGAGTGAACTGGGGGTGATGGGGAAATCCCCCTGTAAGTCTCAGGCAGCACAAACCCATCTGTAGGGGCATGGTGAGCTCTGGGGAGGAAACTCATGTCTCCTCTTGGCGGGGAGCAGAGCTGGATGCTCATCGTCAGCTTCTCAGGCTCACTCTCGGTTAACCGACCCAACACTGCTAGGGTGCAGAGATCAGCAGGCAGCTTTTCCAGGCAGGGGCTTGGCCAGTTTAGCTGCCCAAGGCCACACAGCCAGTGGATGAGAAGCTGGGCTGTGGGCACCGAAGCCTGCCTGATTCCAAAGCTCAGCACTCTCAGCTACTCCACTGGGCCTGGTAAATGTTCCCGTGGGGCCCTCCAGGAGCTGACCCAGAAAGCTGACCTCATCTTGTCCCATGGGGTCCTATGGGTCACTCCGCTCTAGCCACACTGGCCTCCTGGCTGTTTCTCGTACCCGCCAAGCTCCCTCCTCCTTCCCTGCCTCTGCCCCAGCTGTTCTCTTTGCCTGGACCTCTAATTCCTGGGTCTCACTCCAGAACTGTCATCCCTGTGTCTTGCTCCCTCCCTTCCCTCAGCTTGCCTGGTGCAGGCTGTGGTCCTTGCCTAGCAAGATGACTAATTAGGAGGTGAGAATACATGTCCCCCAGATCAGAAGCTGCTAACTCCGGTGCCCTTACCCAACCAGACAGGTGGCCTTGCCCTCAATAGGCCAGGATTAGCCAGCAGGTGTTCCAGGGGAACTAGGACTGCCCATCACTTAGGGCATTTTTGAATCTGAGTGCTGGGAAGAGGGGCAGGGGTGGGAGGAGGAGGCAGAAACAATGGGAAGGAGTTAATGGCCCTGGGGCTTAACTTGGTTCTGGCAGCCATAGAGATGGAAGGAGACAAACTCTTCCATTACTCCTCCCTTGCCACCCCTCTCCTCCAGCAGCCTGGGAGACCTGAGGAGCTAAGCCCAGTTCTGCCCTCTAGAAGGGCCTTGCGCCTGAAAACCCACACCAGCTGAAGAGGGGCTGGGCTGGGAGGCAGGGTGCCTGGCTGCCCAGATCTGTCATGTGGGCAAGTTATTTGACTGCAGTGGGGCTATTTCTCAGCAGTTTCACAGGACTTTCAGTTATGCAGCCATCAAAAATGATGAGTTCGTGTCCTTTGTAGGGACATGGATGAATCTGGAGAACATCATTCTCAGCAAACTGACACAAGAACAGAAAATGAAATACCGCATATTCTCACTCATAGGTGGGTGATGAAAAATGAGAACACATGGACACAGGGAAGGGAGTACTACACACTGGGGTCTATTGGGGGGAATAGGGGAGGGACAGCAGGCAGGGGGAGCTGGGGAGGGATAGCCTGGGGAGAAATGCCAAATGTGGGTGAAGGGGAGGAAGGCAGCAAAACACACTGCCACGTGTACCTATGCAACTATCTTGCATGTTCTGCACATGTACCCCAAAACCTAAAATGCAATAAAAAATAAAAAAATAAAAAATAAAATGGTCCCCCAGGTTCCTTTCAGTTTCAGCATCTAAACTTTCCTGGGAGTTCCCGTGGCCAGGGAAAAGCTGTTCTACAGGTGAGGAAGCACACTCAGAGAAAGCAAACCCTCTGCATGAAAGCACACAGCTTAGCTACTGGGGCCAGGGCTGGAACTGGAAGCAGGGTTGGTGTGACCCACACTGCCGCTATCTCTGCGGTGCTCTCACCATGCCTCCCCGATGGCTCCCTTCTCTGCTCCGCGGTGGATACCCCCTGCAACTCAACCTGAGCATCCATTGGTGGCCGCAAGAGGAATTGTGGTATTTGGAGCAGAGAAGCTTTCCAGAAGATGACACAAAAGTCAGAAATCATTAAAAAAGGGTGGGCTTGATTATGTTTCAAAAAATCTATACCAACTTCTATAATGGTCCGAAGTGCCCTGCAATACAAAGAAAAGAAAAAAAGGAGAAAATGTTTATATATATATATAAAGGATGAACATCTCCAGTATGCAAGGAGCATGGAAACCTGCAAACATCACCTCAATTAAGAAAACATGAACTGGGGATTCACAAAAGAAGAAACATGAATATATATTAATATACATGATGAACTGTTTTTTTTTTTTTTGAGACAGAGTCTCACTCTGTTGCCCAGGCTGGAGTGCAGTGGTGCGATCTCAGCTCACTGCAAACTCTGCCTCCCGGGTTCAAGCAATTCCTCTGCCTCAGCCTCCCGAGAAACTGGGATTACAGCTGTGTGCCACCACACCCTGCTAATTTTTGTATTTGTGGTAGAGACAGGATTTTACTATGTTGGCAAGGCTGGTCTCAAACTCCTGCCTTGGAATCCCTGCAGTGCTGGGATTACACGCACTATAAGCCACCACGCCCGGCCGTGATGGGCAACCTTATAGGAGATTCCGCCCAGCTATCAAAAGTGCTTCTCAAAGCTACTAATCAAAGCAATCTTGGCTCCTCCTCAGGACTCCCACGCAACTCCCTGGATCCCAAATCCAGCTCCATAGGTCATGTGGGCACCAGCTGGCACTTAGGGTGCCAGGTCAACCTGGTGCCTGGTCCTGAGTGTGTGGCATTACAGAAAGAATCTTAATAGGGAGGGCGGAGTCTGAGGAGGGGCCAGCTATGGGCAGAGAATGTCAGGAGCCAGAGACATCAAAATCCAGAGCAATAAACTGGAAATCACACTAGGGCCTGGGCACCCCCACCTATGTGGCTTATTCAACCTGAATGTTACCACAAAGAGGGTTTTCCCGGTTTGCAAGTACCTGTGTGCCTTTAGTCTCAGCTCCTTCTGCCATCCCTGTGGGTGAGTGACACCATCTAGGGCAGGGGCTCAGCCTTGCCAGTGAGGAAGGTAAGGACTCTCTTGCGTTGAACTGTTAGCATCTCATCACACTGAGATGCCAGTCCCTTCCTGGCAGAGCCCTGCTGCTGGGCTACAGCTTTTTATTAAGCACCCACTATGTGCCAGGCACTGTGCTGAGTGCTGGGGATACAGCAATGAGCAAAACACACAAAAATCCCTTCTCTCCAGAGACCCGAGCATCTATGTTCCAGGGCAGGGGCCTAGGCCCTGGAAAATCAAGGCCAGGGCTAAGAAGCATGGGGGCAGTAGGGGCATCAGGGCAGCCAAGACAGCAGCCTGGAAATCTCCTGGAAGTAATCGGATGGGGGTAATGAACCATCTCAGTGGGCTCTCAAAGACTGTGGGCCCAGCAACAGGAGGGCAGGAACCACCAGATACGGGTGGTCAGCATGGACATCTGCAAGCACACTGCATTCCAGCTCCCCCGCGGCACAAGAGTATTGGGCAGCTAACCTGGGACAGCCACAGAGACCATTTCACAGCTGTGAAAACTGAGACCCAGAGAAGGGAAGCTTTTGTCATAATTAAGGCGCACACACAACTTTAAAGGAGGGCCTTGGAAGGAGGCACGGATTCATGCAGGTGCATGGCCCATGTCCTTGGCCTCACCTTTCTGTTTTTCCATCCCATCCTCTTGAGGGCAGGGGTATCTGGCCTTGTTTAACAATCTTGGGACCATACCTGGTATCAGTGGGTGATCAGGCATCAGTCCTGCCTGGACCACTGGCCTGAGCGTCTTGGAGTCTTTACGGGTAGCAGACAGTATGGAGGTCACTGTGGTCTCAGGGGTGCCACACATCAGCCCTGGGGTCTGAATGGCAGGGAGGGGGAGGGTGGGCAGGTGGGACAGGTCCTCGATCTCTCAGCAGCAAGATGGTCTGTGGGTGGAGGGGCCTTGGGGGTTGCTGCGGGCCATGGCCAGCTGGGCAGGGTCAGCAACTAGGCAATTGGCTCTTGGCTCCCCCAGGATGGTGGAGAGACAGGGGACCCTCTCTCTGCCCAGGCCTGGAAAAGCAGTGAGCTTTTCCACCTAGCTGGGTCACCTGGGCAACACCGTTTGATGTCACAGGGCAGGGCTGAAGTCACATGGGCACCTGCCAGGTGCAGTGAGCTAGAACCAGAAGCCCTTTTCCCTATTTCTGGAGCCGTGTTGTGCCTCAGGCCTCGCCTTTCCTGCTCTTGGTGCCCCAAGTAGCTTCCACCGACCATGTGGTGTGGCCAGCCCCATGCTGCTCACACTGCAGCAAAAGAGGAAGCCAGACACTGCTCTCAAGAGAGTTGCAGCTAGACTGGAGAAACGGCTACTTCTGCTGAAGAATTCACCAGCCCTCTTGCCTCTCTGGGTATCTACAGTCTTCCATTTATTTGATGATAATAAACACAAACTTCAAGAGGATGGTTTCTTCTTGGAGGGCAGGTGGGAAGATGAGGGAGAGAAGAGGATAAGATAATACACTCTAAACCTTTGCGGTTTTGGATTGGGTGATCAGTTAACGGGTGTTCATTATTTTCATTACTGTTATTTTTTGAGATGGAGTCTTGCTTTGTTGCCTCCCGGGTTTAAGTGGTTCTCCTGCCTCAGCCTCCTGAGTAGCTGGGACTACAGGCTCATGCCACCGTGCCCAGCTAATTTTTGTGTTTTTAGTAGAGACAGGGTTTCACCATGTTGGCCGGGATGGTCTTGATCTCTTGATTTCGTGATACGCTGGCTTCGGCCTCCCAAAGTGCTAGGATTACCGGCATGAGCCACCTACCCAGTGGGAGTTCATTATATTATTGAAAATAAATTATAATTAAACAATTAAAGAAAGCCATGATGGGCCAGTGATAGTACTGGAGTATGAACCAAAGATTATGATTAATTTAGTTCTGAGCGCTGCAAGAAATTATTACAAAGACATAACAATTGAGCATTTTCTGCATGCCAGGCATGGTTCTAAATGCTTTTGGTGAGGTGAGACGGAAGAATGAGGAGAGATTAATCCTTGGCCTGGGGTGGGGGGATGCTCTAGAGAGAGGTGAGGTCTGAACTGGGCTTTGAAGGATGATCAGAAATCCTGGGCTAGTGGCCGGGAGGGGTGCCTCACACCTGTAATCCCAGCACTTTGGGAGGCCAAGGTAGGTGGATTGCCTGAGCTCAGGAGTTCAAGATCAGCCTGGGCAACACAGTGAAACCTCGTCTCTACTAAAATACAAAAGATTAGCTGGGCATGGTGGTGGGGACCTGTAGTCCCAGCTACTCAGGAGGCTGAGGCAGGAGAATCACTTGAACCTGGGAGGCAGAGGTTGCATTGAGCTGAGATCATGCCACTACACTCCAGCCTGGGTGACAGAGCGAGACTCTGTCTCAAAAAAAAGAGCAAAGCAAAGAAATTCTGGGCTAGAAGAGGAGGGGTCTGGGGTGCTGGGCAGCATTCAGAGGTGTTTGGGAGGCCCCTGCGACCTGCCTCATTTCTGCCTATTTTGGGCCCCATGTTGGAGGTTCTTTTAATCTGGTCCAAAAGCAGCACCAGCCTGGCAGCCAGGAGGCAGAGGCCTCCCAGCCTCCCTCTCTACCCCCATTCCAGAGAGAGCAGCAGCGAGGATATGGTTCTCCCAAGTTTAGAGACAGAAAAACAGAGGCTTTGCCTTTGATGAGAACTGGAAGGACCAGCCAAGGTCATCCAGACACTGGTGGGGGATGGAAGTCAGGAACCCCACTCCTAATTTCCTCCCTGTCTAGGCCTGCCAAAAGTGGTACCCCTGGGGCTCTGGGGCAGGGGGCCTGACCAGGAATGGACTGGCTGTAAGCAGTGTGCTTTATCTCCCTCGTGGGCCAACATGTCCCAACACAGTGTATGCATGGAAAGCTCTCAGTGGCTGCTCCCCCATCTCCCTAGAGCGCCTTTCCCTCAACCTCTTAGGCCTGCTTAGTCTAGGAGGCTAGGGCAGCAGGTTCTGGGCAAGGGGAGTCATTGCTGCTTCTCCAGCAGCAGAACTGAAGATGCAAGCCAGGTGCCTAGAAAGCAAACGTTTAGGAAACCCTCACTCTCAGGGCTGCATGGGCGCTGTGCTCCCGACACAGCACCTGCTGACATTCTGTGCCGTTTCCACCTTGCCTGGCTCACTGTGGTCTCTGCCTTGCCCTACAGCTCTGTCTCCATCCCTGGGGCTCTAAGCTCTCAGCCAGCTGCCCATGCTGGCATCTCAGCTCTCTGCCACTGCAGCCACACCCCTGCCATCTTCATGCCTGGGAAGAAGCTAATGTGATTGGGCACTGGTTCCAGGCCAGCTGGCTCCAGAGTGCAAGCAGGCTCTGCACACTCAGCAGGCACCAGGAGGATCTTCCTACCCCCCAACTTGCCAGTTGTCCACCTCCCTGGACCAAGGACCCCTGGGAGACCAGCTTTTGTGCGTGCCCTAACCTCCCCCGCTCCCTGCCAGAGCTGCTTCCTCCTCGCCTGCGAGAAAGCCTTAGCAGCCGGAGCCCAGCTGCTCTACCTTCTCCTCCCCTTCCTCCAGCAAGGTGAGCTCTACCTCCCCAGCCCAGAGAAGTGGGCTTGCTCCTCACATGTCCACGGGCCAGCCACAAGCTTTGATGATTCAGGGGGATTCCAGGGTGAGGGAGAGCAGGGACAGATTAATCTCACAGATAATAGATAACGGTGCCAACCTCCTACCTCCAAGATGGAGCATTTGGAGCTGTATCACTAGGAGGGGCCAGGGGTTAAATGTGGCCACTAGGGAGCCCACAGTTCTGGGAGGGGCAAGCCCCTGAGGCTGGATCTGGGGCTGGCTCTTGGGGAAGGAGGAATCTTGCTGGCTGGACAGCAAGAAGAATCTGGACAGACAGATGTGGCTCCTAGTCAGCCCTGCTTCCTCATGCCACGTCTGGGGCCTGGAGTCTGGGGAGGCAGCACACGAAGACAAACTACCCATACAGTGAGACTCAGAGGAGGATGTCTGTCTCCCAGAGCTCCCCACCTCCCCACTCGGCCTTTCCTTCCCTCTGAGTCCTGTCCCACCCCCACATTTGGGCAGCTGAGTTGGATGAGGTGGGAAATGTAGGCAGTGTGATTTTGTGGCAAATGGCAGCTCAAAGCTGTGTGATCTTGGGCATAATGTTAACTGTTTTTGAGCTTTAGTTCCCGTCCTTAGCCAGTGCGGGGATCAGGGCTGCTCTGTGGGCTGAATGAGATCATGCAGGTAAAGCTCTTAACACCGACAGTTACGAGCCCCAGGCATGCTTGCTTCTCCCTGCTAACCAGCCTTGGGCTTGGCAAGTTTTCTCTAGAACAGCTCTGGCTGCAGCGATGTCAGTTTAAACCCAGCCCAGCACTTTGAGGGGTAGGGTATGAACTGGCCTCAAGAGGCCTAGTTGGAGCCATCGTGGAAGCACAAGGCAAAGCCAGCTTCCCAAATCTCTCTGCAAAACTCCTGAGGCTGAGCCTCATAACTGAGCTGAGGTCAGAGCAGCTCCTGAAGGTCCTGGCCAGCAGGCAGTGGATTTGGAATGGGTCACCCTCTCCGAGTCTTCCGTCCTTCAGCCAATAAGGGAGAGCCCTCTGCCTACACCACGGCGGCTGAGGGTGCGACAGGTAGAGCACAGAGACCCTCCAAGGGAAATGCTTTAGTTGACAACAGTCAAAATAAAAACCAAGGGAGGGGCGGGGACTCACCCTGGTCCCATGCCCCTGCCTCCTGTTTCTTAATTCCAGAAGCAGCACAAACACAGGAGGCGTTGCCGAGGACCACGAGGACAGCACATGCTCAGAGCAGGAGAGGAAGGGTTGAGGAAGGCCTCTGGGATCAAAGGCCTTGAGCAGGACCCAGAGAGCACATTGCATTTAAGTAGGAAAGAAGGGGACATTTCTGGTGAAGGGTTACCTGAGAAAGGTGCCACCATGGGGGTGGGTCTGGACGCCCGGAACAGAGCTGGGCTAGAGAAGAGGGGAAGCGGGCCTGGGGCAATGTCTGGGTGGGTGTGGAGGCTCCAGCTCTGGTGGAGACATGGAGATTCACCCTACGGCCATTTCTCACTTCTCTGGCCCATTTCAGCGGGGGAGAACTCACCAAGTCCAAGGTTGGTTAGCAGGAAAAAGAGCAAGCATATCTGGGGGCTTCACTGTCCATGTTAGACCTTTACCTGCATGGTCTCATTCAGCCCTCAGAGCAGTCCTGATTCTCCCACTGGATAAGAACGGGAAGCAAAGCTCAGAGAGGGTTAACATTTTGCCCAAGATCACACAGCTTCGAGCTGCCATTTGCTATAAAATCACACTGCCTACGTTTCCCACCTCATCCAACTCAGCTACCCAACAGCAATGGAGAAAGAGTGATGGGGGAATACGGGGGAAGGGGCAAGAGTCAGGAAAACAGAAGGCCAAGCGTGGGGAATCTGGGAGAGCAGCTCACTTTCCGGGACTGCCACTGAGAGTTAGCAGTCAGCTCTCTCTGCACAGGTGCCTCTCCAGGCTATGGTCATTGTCCCCTCTTGTCTCTTCAAACCTAGGAGCAGGGAAGGCTTCTCACAGGCTCCAGCCTCGAGGACACTGAGGTTTCCCTCGTTTCCCTAAACCCCACCCTCAGTATCGCAAATAGTCCTTTGTTAAACTCGCCTCAAGCTCCTGAATTGGAATGCCTTCTTTTTCCCAGCAGGATCCTGGTCGATGCATCTGCTGTGTAAGCCCCTCTCCATGGCCCCATCTCCCACCTGATGTCCGGGTATCACTGCTGTCATCATCGCCATTGGCTCCTTCACACCCCCATTTTTTTTTTTTTTTTTTGAGACAGAGTTTTACTCTTGTTGCCCAGACGGGAGGGCAATGGTATGATCTCGGCTCACTGCAACCTCCGCCTCCTAGGTTCAAGAGATGGGATTCTCCTGCTTCAACCTCCTGAGTAGCTGGGATTACAGGCACCCGCCACCATGCCCTGCTAATTTTGTATTTTTAGTAGAGACGAGGTTTCTCCATATTGGTTATGCTGCTATCAAACTCCCGACCTCAGGGATCTGCCCGCCTCGCCCTTCCAAAGTGCTGGGCATGAGCCACTGTGCCCAGCCATTGTGAGTCCATT